AACGACTGAACGCGTGATTGAACGAGTGAGTGAACGAATAAACGAGCGAACGACTGAACGAGTGAACGACTGAACGAGTGAGTGAACGAGTGAGTGAACGACTAAACGAGTGAGTGAATGAACGAGTGAGTGAGTGAACGGGTGAACGAGTGAACGACTCAACGAGTGAACGAGTGAGTGAACGACTAAACGAGTGAACGACTAAACGAGTGAGTGAACGACTGAACGAGTGGGTGAACGACTAAACGAGTGAAAGATTAAACGAGTGAACGACTAAACGAGTGAGTGAACGACTGAACGAGTGAGTGAACGACTGAACGAATGAAGGACTGAACGAGTGAGTGAACGCCTAAACGAGTGAATGAACGACTGAACGAGTGAATGAACGACTAAACGAGTGAACGACTGAACGACTAAACGAGTGAGTGAACGGGTGAACGACTGAACGAGTGAGTGAGTGAACGGGTGAACGACTAAACGACTAAACGAGTGAACGAGTGAGTGAACGACTAAACGAGTGAATGAACGACTGAACGCGTGAGTGAACGCGTGAGTGAACGACTAAACGACTGAACGACTATACGAGTGAACGTCTGAACGAGTGAACGACTGAACGAGTGAGTGAACGAGTGAGTGAGTGAACGAGTGATTAAATGAACGACTGAACGAGTGAACGACTGAACGAGTGAACGACTGAACGAATGAACGGGTGAACGACTGAACGAGTGAACGACTGAACGAGTGAGTGAACGACTGAACGAGTGAACGACTAAACGAGTGAACGACTGAACGAGTGAGTGTGTGAACGAGTGAACAACTGAACGAGTGAGTGAGTGAACGAGTGAACGACTGAACGAGTGAGTGAGCGACTGAACGAGTGAACGACTAAACGACTGAACGAGTGCATAAACAACTAAACGACTGAACGAGTGAACGACTGAACGAGTGAGTGAACGGGTGAACGACTGAACGAGTGAACGACTGAACGAGTGAGTGAACGACTGAACGAGTGCGTGAATGACTGAACGAGTGAATGAACGACTAAACGAGTGAGTGAACGACTAAACGAGTGAGTGAATGAACGAGTGAGTGAGTGAACGGGTGAACGACTGAACGAGTGAACGACTGAACGAGTTAACGAGTGAGTCAACGACTAAAAGAGTGAATAAACGACTGAACGAGTGAGTGAACGACTACACGAGTGAATGAACGACTGAACGAGTGAATGAACGACTGAACGACTAAACGAGTGAACGACTGAACGAGTGAGTGAACGACTAAACGAGTGAGTGAACGAGTGAACGACTGAACGACTGAGTGAACGACTAAACGAGTGATTGAACGACTGAACGAGTGAACGACTACACGAGTGAGTGAATGACTGAGCGCGTGAGTGAAGGACTGAACGAATGAAGGACTGAACGAGTGAGTGAACGACTAAACGAGTGAGTGAACGACTGAACGAGGAAGTGAACGACTGAACGAGTGAATGAACGACTAAACGAGTGAACGACTGAACGACTAAACGACTGAACGAGTGAGTGAACGACTAAATGGGTGAATGAACGACTGAACGAGGGAGTGAATGATTAAACGAGTGAATGAACGATTAAACGAGTGAACGACTAAACGAGTAAATGAACGACTGAACGAGTGAATGAACGACTAAACGAGTGAACGACTGAACGACTAAACGACTGAACGAGTGAGTGAACAACTAAACGAGTGAGTGAATGAACGAGTGAGTGAACGGGTGAACGACTGAACGACCCAACGAGTGAACGAGTGAGTGAACGACTAAACGAGTGAATGAACGACTGAACGAGTGAGTGAACGACTAAACGAGTGAGGACTGAACGAGTGAGTGAACGACTAAACGAGTGAGTGAACGACTGAACGAGTGAACGACTGAACGAGTGAGTGAACGACTAAACGAATGAGTGAACGAGTGAAAGACTGAACGAGTGAGTGAACGACTAATCGAGTGAACGACTAAACGAGTAAGTGAACGACTAAACGAGTGAACGACTGAACGAGTGAGTGAACGACTAAACGAGTGAGTGAACGACTGAACGACTGAGTGAACGACTAAACGAGTGAACGACTAAACGATCGAACGACTAAACGAGTAAGTGAACGACTAAACGACTGAACGAGTGAGTGAATGACTGAACGAGTGAATGATCGACTAAACGAGTGAACGACTGAACGACTAAACGACTGAACGAGTGAGTAAACGACTAAACGAGTGAATGAACGACTGAACGAGGGAGTGAACGACTAAACGAGTGAATGAACGATTAAACGAGTGAACAACTGAACGACTAAACGAGTGAATGAACGACTGAACGAGTGAATGAACGACTAAACGAGTGAATGACTGAACGACAAAACGACTGAACGAGTGAGTGAATGACTAAACGAGTGAATGAACGATTAAACGAGTGAACGATTGAACGACTAAACGACTGAACGAGTGAGTGAACGACTGAACGAGTGAATTAACGACTAAACGAGTGAACGACTAAACGACTGAACGAGTGAGTGAACGACTAAACGAGTGAATGAACGACTGAACGAGGGAGTGAACGACTAAACGAGTGAATGAACGATTAAACGAGTGAACGACTGAACGACTAAACTAGTGAATGAACGACTGAACGAGTGAATGAACGACTAAAAGAGTGAACGACTGAACTACTAAACGACTGAACGAGTGAGTGAACGACTAAACGAGTGAGTGAATGAACGAGTGAGTGAACGGGTGAACGACTGAACGAGTGAACGACTCAACGAGTGAACGAGTGAGTGAACGACTAAACGAGTGAATGAACGACTGAACGAGTGAGTGAACGACTACACGAGTGAATGAACGACTGAACGAGTGAATGAACGACTGAACGACTAAACGAGTGAACGACTGAACGAGTGAGTGCATGAACGGGTGAACGACTGAACGAGTGAGTGAGTGAACGACTGAACGAGTGAGTGAACGACTGAACGAGTGAGTGAACGACTGAACGAGTGAACGACTGAACGAGTGAGTGAGTGAACGACTGAACGAGTGAACGAGTGAGAGTGAACGTGTTTACGACTGAACGAATGAACGAGTGCGTGAACGACTGAACGAGTGAACGACTGAACGAGTGAGTGAACGGGTGAACGACTGAACGAATGAACGAGTGAGTGAACGACTGAACGAGTGAGTGAGTGAACGACTGGACGAGTGAGTGAACGACTGAACGAGTGAACGACTGAACAAGTGAGTGAACGACTGAACGAGTGAACGAATGAACGACTGAACGAGTGAACGAATGAACGACTGAACGACTGAGTGAACGACTGAACGATTGAACGACTGAACGAGTGAGTAAACGACTGAACGACTGAACGAGTGAGTGAACGAGTGAACGAGTGAGTGAGTGAACGACTGAACGAGTGAGTGAACGACTGAACGAGTGAGTGAGTGAACGAGTGAACGACTGAACGAGTGAGTGAGTGAACGACTGAGTGAGTGAACGACTGAACGACTGAACGAGTGAGTGATTGAACGACTGAACGACTGAACGACTGAGTGAGTGAACGACTGAACGAGTAGTTGAGTGAATGACTGAATGAGTGAACGACTGACCGACTAAACGAGTGAGTGAGTGAACGACTGAACGAGTGAGTGAACGAGTGAGTGAACGAGTGAGTGAACGACTGAACGAGTGAACGACTGAGTGAGTGAACGACTGAACGAGTGAGTGAGTGAGTGAACGACTGAACGAGTGAGTGAGTGAACGACCGAACGAGTGAGTGAACGACTGAACGAGTGAACGACTGAACGAGTGAGTGAGTGATCGAGTGAACGACTGAGTGAACGACTGAACGAGGGAGTGAGTGAACGACTGAGTGAGTGAACGACTGAACGAGTGAGTGAACGAACGACTGAACGACTGAATGAGTGATCGACTGAACGAGTGAACGACTGAACGAGTGAGTGAGTGAACGAGTGAACGATTGAGTGAACAACTGAACGAGTGAGTGAGTGAACGACTGAACGACTAAACGAGTGAACGACTGAACGACTGAGTGAACGACTGAACGAGTGAACGAGTGAACGACTGAACGACTGAGTGAGTGAACGACTGAACGACTAAACGAGTGAACGACTGAACGACTGACTGAACGACTGAACGAGTGAACGACTGAGTGAGTGAACGACTGAACGACTAAACGACTGACCGACTGAACGAGTGAGTGAGTGAACGACTGAACGTCTGAACGAGTGAACGACTGAACGAGTGAGTGAACGAGTGAGTGAACGACTGAACGAGTGAGTGAGTGAACGGTTGAACGACTGAACGACTAAACGAGTGAACGAGTTAGTGAACGACTGAACGAGTGAGTGAGTGTTTGAACGACTGAACGCGTGAGTGAACGGGTGAACGACTGAACGAGTGAACGACTGAACGAGTGAGTGAACGACTGAACGAGTGAGTGAGCAAACGACTGAATGAGTGATCGACTGAACGACTGAACGAGTGAGTGAGTGAACGACTGAACGAGTGAGTGAACGAGTGAGTGAACGACTGAACGAGTGAGTGAACGGGTGAACGACTGAACAACTAAACGAGTGAACGAGTGAGTGAACGACTGAACGAGTGAGTAAGTGAACGACTGAACGCGTGAGTGAACGAGTGAACGACTGAACGAGTGAGTGAGTGAACGACTGAACGTCTGAACGAGTGAATGAGTGATGGACTGAACGAGTGAACGACTGAACGAGTGAGTGAACAAGTGAACGAGTGAGTGAACGACTGAGTGAGTGAATGACTGAACGAGTGAACGACTGAGTGAGTGAACGACTGAACGAGTGAGTGAACGACTGAACGAGTGAACCACTAAACGAGTGAACGACTGAACGAGTGAGTGAACGACTGAACGAGTGAACGACTAAACGAGTGAACGACTGAACGACTGAGTGAGTGAACGAACAACCGGAACCTTCTCCACAGATGCCGCTGCCGTCTCCTCCCCCGTCGCCCCTCCTCCCCGCGCGTCACCGCGGGGGCGTGGCCTCCTGGGGCGCCTCCAGAGCCCCCTGGCGCGCGGCCAACCCCAGGGGCGTGGCCAGAGGGGTGCCCGGGGGCGCGGTCGCTCCCGGGGGCGTGGCCAGAGCGGTGCCCGGGGGCGTGGCCGCCGCCGAAACCGGGGGCGGGCGTCTCGGGGGCGCTTCCAGGGGAGGTGCCGGGGGCGTGGCCGCCGGCGCGGCCGCTCATCCCGCGGGGGGCGTGGCGTGGACGGGCCACGCCCCCCGCCTGTCACGTGCCCGGGCGGTGTTGACGGCGCTGATGATCGCCGTCCCGTGGACGATGCTGGCGATGAGTTGGAGTCAGGGCGATGGTGGAGGGGTCGGCGGCGGTGGTGGTGGTGGTGGTGGCGGCGGTGGCTACGGCTCCTCAACACTGCCGCGGCCTGCCGCTCACCACGCCGGTGAGTGGTGGTGGGGGGTGGGGGGGGTAGGGGAGGAGGTCGGTTAACTCACTCAGTCACTCAGTCAGTCGCTCAGTCAGTCAGTCACTCAGTCACTCACTCAGTCAGTCAGTCAGTCACTCAGTCACTCAGCCACTCACTCAGTCACTCAGCCACTCACTCAGTCACTCACTCACACACTCAGTCACTCAGTCACTCAGCCACTCACCGACTCACTCACTCACCCACCCACTCATCCACTCACTCACTCACCCACTCACTCAGTCACTCACCCACCCACTCGCTCACTCACCCACCCACTCACTCACCCACTCACTCACCCACTCACTCATTCACGCACCCACCCATTCACTCACCCACTCACTCACCCACCCACTCACCCACTCACCCACCCACTCACCCACCCACTCACTCACCGACTCACTCACCCACTGTGTGAATGCTGCTGCTGATGATGATACCACTACTGATGATGATGATACTTCTACTGATGATGCTGCTGATGATGATGATACTGCTACTGATGATGATGATACTACTACTGATGATGCTGCTGATGATGATACTTCTACTGATGATGATGATACTTCTACTGATGATGATGATGATACTACTACTGATGATGCTGCTGATGATGATGATACTGCTACTGATGATGATGATGATACTACTACTGATGATGCTGATGATGATGATACTTCTACTGATGATGATGATACTTCTACTGATGATGATGATACTACTACTGATGATGCTGCTGATGATGATGATACTGCTACTGATGATGATGATACTACTACTGATGATGCTGCTGATGATGATACTGCTACTGATGATGATGCTGATGATGATGATACTGCTACTGATGATGATGATGCTGATAATACCACTATTGATGGTGATGATGATACTGCTACTGATGATGATGATGATACTACTACTGATGATGATGATACTACTGATGATGATGATACTACTGATGATGATGATACTACTACTACTGATGATGATGATGCTGATGATGATGATACTACTGATGATGATGATGATGATACTACTGATGATGATACTACTACTGATGATGATGCTGATGATGATGATGCTGATGATGATGATGCTGCTGATGATGATGATGCTGATGATGCTGCTGCTGATGATGATGCTGATGATGCTGCTGATGCTGATGATGCTGATGATGATGCTGATGATGATGCTGATGCTGATGATGCTGATGATGATGATGATGCTGATGATGATGCTGACGATACTTCTACTACTGATGATGATGCTGATGATGACGCTGATGATGCTGATGATGATGCTGATGATGATGCTGATGATGATGATTATGCTGCTGATGATGATGATGCTGATGATGATGCTGATGATGATGCTGCTGATGATGATGCTGATGATGATGCTGATGATGATGATGCTGCTGCTGATGATGCTGATGATGATGCTGATGATGATGCTGATGATGATGCTGATGATGATGCTGCTGATGATATTCTCTCCATGACAGACGACATCGTCACGTCAGTGCCGCAGCACGTTCGCCACCATCATCATCAGCAGCCAGCATCATCATCATCAGCAGCAGCATCATCAGCAGCAGCAGCAGCATCATCATCAGCAGCAGCAGCAGCGCCCTGTCAATTCCCGACCTCTGGCAATGCTGCTGCTGATGATGATTCTGCTGCTGATGATGCTGACGATGCTGCTGCTGATGATGATGCTGCTGATGATGCTGCTGCTGCTGATGCTGCTGCTGGATTCTTGACAAGGAGAATCAAGAAGCGGAAAGCGCTGAAAGAGCTTTTCATGCGAATGCGCTATCCTGTCGCTGATGATGATGATGCTGCTGATGATGATGATGATGGCGGTTATGCTGAGGACGAGGCCGCTGATGGCGATGATGATGATGATGTTGACGATGGTGAAGGGGGATATGGACAGAATCGGCTACACAGGCACAGGTAAGTGGGTGGGTGAGTGGGTGGGTGAGTGGGTGAGTGAGTGAGTGGGTGGGTGAGTGGGTGGGTGAGTGAGTGGGTGAGTGAGTTGGTGGGTGATTGGGTGGGTGAGTGAGTGGGTGGGTTGGTGAGTGGGTGAGTGAGTGAGTGAGTGGATGGGTGAGTGGGTGAGTTAGTGAGTGGGTGGGTTGGTGAGTGGGTGAGTGAGTGAATGAGTGAGTGCGTGAGTGAGTGGGTGAGTGGGTGAGTGGGTGAGTGAGTGAGTGAGTGGGTGAGTGAGTGGGTGAGTGAGTGACTGAGTGAGTGACTGAGTGAGTGGATGGGTGACTGAGTGACTGAGTGTGTGACTGAGTGAGTGACTGAGTGAGTGACTGACTGAGTGAGTGACTTAGTACGTAAGGTAGGTGAGTGAATGTCTAAGCGGCTTAGTGGCTACCACTGGATCCATCACTGACAACCACCATCACCGATGCCAATACAACCACCGCTAACCGCTAACAACCAATGCCACCGCTGCTACCGCTGATTCCATACAAAAGTTGATTGCGTACAACCAATACCACCGCTGATACCACTCCGCTGATACCGCTGATTCCATACAACCAAAACCACCGCTGATACCACTCCGCTGATTCCGCTGATACCGCTGATACCACACCACCGCTGATTCCGCTGATACCACACCACCGCTGATACCGCTGATACCGCTGATACCACACCACCGCTGATTCCGCTGATTCCATACAACCAAAACCACCGCTGATACCACTCTGCTGATACCTCTCCGCTGATACCGCTGATTCCATACAACCAAAACCACCGCTGATACCTCTCCGCTGATACCTCTTCGCTGCTACCGCTGATTCCATACAACCAAAACCACCGCTGATACCACTCCGCTGATACCTCTCCGCTGATACCGCTGATTCCATACAACCAAAACCACCGCTGATACCACTCCGCTGATACCTCTCCGCTGATACCGCTGATTCCATACAACCAAAACCACCGCTGATACCACTCCGCTGATACCACACCTCTTCGCTGATACCGCTGATTCCATACAACCAAAACCACCGCTGATACCACTCCGCTGATACCTCTCCGCTGCTACCGCTGATTCCATACAACCAAAACCACCGCTGATACCACTCCGCTGATACCTCTCCGCTGATACCGCTGATACCGCTGATACCGCTGATACCACACCACCGCTGATTCCGCTGATTACGCTGATAACACACCACCGCTGATTCCTACCGCTGATGCCTCTCCCCCAGGCGCAGCTGGTCCCACTGGAATCCGCGTCTGCCGGTGATCTTTGCCGTGACCCCCACGTACGCCCGCGCCGTGCAGAAGGCGGAGCTGACCCGTCTCTCCCACACCCTGGCGCTGGTGCCCAACCTCCACTGGCTGGTGGTGGAGGATGCCGAGTCGCCGACCCAGCTCGTCAAACACCTCCTCAGCAGGGCCGCGAGGCGCCTGCCGCTCACTCACCTCTACGTGGAGACGCCTCCACATTACAGGCTCATGGTGGGGGGTGGTGGGGGTGGGGGGGGGTGTGGGTGGGGGGTGGGGGGGGGTGGGGGGGGGGGTGGGGGGGTGGGTGGGGGTGTGGGTGAGTGGGTGGGTGGGTGGGTGAGTGGGTGAGTAGGTGAGTGAGTGAGTGAGTAGGTGAGTGAGTGAGTGGGTGAGTGGGTGAGTGAGTGAGTGAGTAGGTGAGTGAGTGAGTGAGTGGGCGAGTGGGTGGGTGAGTGAGTGAGTGAGTAGGTGAGTGAGTGAGTAGGTGAGTGAGTGAGTGAGTGGGCGAGTGGGTGGGTGAGTGAGTGAGTGAGTAGGTGAGTGAGTGAGTAGGTGAGTGAGTGGGTGAGTGAGTGGGTGAGTGGGTGGGTGGGTGAGTGGGTGGGTGGGTGGGTGAGTGGGTGGGTGGGTGGGTGAGTGAGTGGGTGAGTGAGTGAGTGGGTGGGTGAGTGGGTGGGGGTGTGGGTGGGTGGGTGAGTGAGTGAGTGAGTGGGTGGGTGAGTGAGTGAGTGGGTGGGTGAGTGAGTGAGTGGGTGAGTGAGTGAGTGAGTGGGTGGGTGGGTGAGTGGGTGAGTGGGTGAGTGGGTGGGTGAGTGAGTGGGTGAGTGAGTGAGTGGGTGAGTGGGTGAGTGGGTGAGTGAGTTGGGTGGGTGAGTGAGTGAGTGGGTGAGTGAGTGAGTGAGTGGGTGGGTGGGTGAGTGGGTGAGTGGGTGAGTGGGTGGGTGAGTGAGTGGGTGAGTGAGTGAGTGGGTGAGTGGGTGAGTGGGTGAGTGAGTTGGGTGGGTGAGTGAGTGGGTGAGTGAGTGAGTGGGTGGGTGAGTGAGTGAGTGGGTGAGTGAGTGGGTGAGTGAGTGAGTGAGTGGGTGAGTGGGTGAGTGAGTGGGTGAGTGGGTGAGTGAGTGAGTGGGTGGGTGGGTGAGTGGGTGAGTGAGTGGGTGGGTGGGTGAGTGAGTGAGTTGGGTGGGTGAGCGAGTGAGTGGGTGAGGGGGTGGGTGGGTGAGTGGGTGAGTGAGTGAGTGAGTGGGTGGGTGAGTGAGTGGGTGGGTGGGTGGGTGAGTGGGTGGGTGGGTGAGTGGGTGAGGGGGTGAGTGAGTGAGTGGGTGGGTGGGTGAGTGAGTGAGTGGGTGGGTGAGCGAGTAAGTTAATGAATGAGTGAGTGATACTACCACTGCTACCACCACCACCATCAGCGCAGCGACTGACACCACCACCACCACTACAACCACCACCACAACCACCACTACAACCACCACAACCATCATCACCACCACTACCACCACCATCAACCACCACCACCATCACCACCACCACAACCACCACCACCACCACCGCCACCACCACCACCACAACCATCACCATCACCACTACCACCACTACCACTACCACCACTACAACCACTACCACTACAACCACCACCACCACCATCTCAGCGACTGACACCACCGCCACCGCTCCAGGCCAACAGGAGCCACCACCACAACCATCACCATCAACACCACCACCACTACCACCATCACCACCATCACCACTACAACCACCACCACTACCACCACCACCACCATCTCAGCGACTGACACCACCACCACCACCACTACCACCACCACCGCCATCTCAGCGACTGACACCACCACCACCACCACTACCACCACCACCGCCATCTCAGCGACTGACACCACCACCACCACCACTACCACCACCACCACTACCACCATCACCACCATCACCACTACAACCACCACTGACACCACCACCACCACCATCTCAGCGACTGACACCACCACCGCCACCGCTCCAGGCCAACAGGAGCCACCACCACAACCATCACCATCAACACCACCACCACTACCACCATCACCACCATCACCAACACCATCACCACCACTGACACCACCACCACCGCCATCTCAGCGACTGACACCACCACCACCACCACCGCTCCAGGCCAACAGGAGCCACCACCACAACCATCACCATCAACACCACCACCACTACCACCACCACTACAACCACCATCACCACCACTACCACCATCACCACCACCACCATCTCAGCGACTGACACCACCGCCACCACCGCTCCAGGCCAACAGGAGCCACCTTCGCTTCCCGCGGGGAACTCTTCAGCGCAACGCCGCCCTCAAGTGGCTGCGGGACGTCTACGGCAGCTTCAACTCGTCAGCAGCCTCCTCCTCATCAGCAGGCCCGCCGCCGGCGCCCTCGTCGTCGGGAGGAGGTGGAGGAGGTGGAGGAGGAGGTGGAGGAGGAGGAGGTGGAGGAGGAGGTGGAGGAGGAGGAGGTGGAGGAGGAGGTGGAGGAGGTGGAGGAGGAGGGGCTTCGTCTTCTTCTTCTTCATCATCCTCGTCGTCGGCGACGACTGGGGCTTCGTCTTCGTCAACATCATCAGCGGCTGGGGCTTCGTCTTCATCGGCGTCGTCAGCGGCGTCCGCTGAGCCGCCCCCGCCCGATGGAGTCGTCTACTTTGCTGACGATGACAACACCTACAGCCTGGATGTGTTCAGAGAGGTGTGTGTCTGTGTGTGTGTCTGTGTGTGTGTGTCTGTGTGTATGTCTGTGTGTGTCTGTGTGTGTGTGTGTCTGTGTGTGTGTGTGTCTGTGTGTGTCTGTGTGTGTTTCTGTGTGTGTGTCTGTGTGTGTGTATGTGTGTGCGTGTGTGTGTCTGTGTGTGTGTCTGTGTGTGTGTGTGTTTAATTCGTGGTTTGCTGAGGAGATGGAGTCTGCCTCAGTGGCCCGTGATCACAAATCTCTATTTAACTCCATCAAAAAAGTAACCTGCAGCGCCACACCTATTACCATCATTAGGGGAAAAAACGGTGATCCAATCTCCGACCCCCAGGAACAGGTTCGCAGATTTGCTGAGCATTTCTGTGAGGTCCTGGGGGAGGGGAAATCCCTCAGCCAGGAAAACATCGTGGCATAAAGTGAGGATGATCCTGCTGAGGCTGCGGTGCCTCAAATATTGGAAGAAGTCACCCCCTGTGAGTGGCTGGCTGAGGTGCCATCTGCTGAGGAAGTATTGAAGGCGATCCGGAGTCTGAGACCAGGAAAGGCAGCAGGCAGAGATGATCTCCCAAGCGAAATGCTGAGGGAGGGTGGCGTTTGTGCACAGACTGCCCTATTTGACATCATAACAACAGTCTGGACCACTGGACGGGTTCCGCAGGATTGGAAGGATGCCCTGGTGGTCCCCCTTTTTAAGAAGGGGGACCGCACAGACTGTAACAACTACAAGGGCATCTCACTCGTCAGTGTGCCGGGAAAGGTCCTGGCAAGGATTATTCAGCATCGCCTTGCCAGGCAAGCTGAGGAGAGGCTTGCGGAGCCCCAATGCGGTTTCAGGAAAGGGCGGTCCTGCACAGATGCCATATTTTCTGTCCGTCTGCTACAGCAGAGGTGTAGGGAATTCCAACAAGACCTACATCTCTGCTTTATTGACCTGGTCAAGGCCTATGATACCATCAGTAGGCCTGGGCTCTGGGTCGTTCTTCGTGCTTTTGGAGTACCTAACCCTCTGCTCACGATCATTAAGGACCTTCATGATGGTGAGCGGGCCCGGGTAAAACTACGTGGCCGGGAGTCAGAGCCATTCCCTGTACACCTTGGGGTGCGACAGGGATGTCCTCTGGCTCCCACATTATTTAACATCTATTTTGACCACGTAGTTCGTGAAGCCTTCAATAGCTGTACCGGGGGAATCTCCATATGGTACAGATATAATGGGAGGCTAATCGATGCCCGGGTGCGGTCAAGGGATGGCTCCCTATTGCTCAACCACGTTATGTATGCTGATGATTTGGTAATAGCTGCTCAGTCAGAGGAGGAGTTGGAGACGCTGCTGCTGAGACTGGAGCGTGCCACTAAGAGGTGGGGCCTTACCATCAGCCCCACCAAAACTAAGCACCTGCCTGGGTATTTTGTACCATCGGACACTCCACCCCCACAACTCCCAATCGGTGATGAGGCAGTTGTGGAGAGAGTGGAGAGTTTCCCCATACCTGGGCAGTGTGCTTATGACTGGCTCCAGTTTAACAGCAGAGGTCTCACTCCGAATCAGTCGAGCGGCAATATCTTTTCATCGGTTGCGTAACGCTGTGTGGAAGCTACCTGGTCTGTCGCTCCGCACTAAGCTTGAGGTCTTCCCGGCCACGGTCATTCCCTCCCTTCTCTACGCTTGCGAAACGTGGACCCCCCTAATGGAACATCTCCGGTTAGAAACATTTAGACTGGCCTGCCTACGATCCATCCTGGGTTTACCAGCTGGCTGGATTGTGTGAGGAGCTCACAAATCCTTGAAAGATCTGGGCAAGGTCCCATCGGTGAGCTCCTCCGGCGGGCAAGGCTGCGATGGCTGGGTCATGTAGCCCGCATGCCCAGCCACCGCATGCCGAAACAGCTTTTGTTCGGCCGGATCGAGGGGGCTAAACGGGCGCGGCACGGGCTAGAGAAGAGATGGAGTGATGTGGTACAGGAGGACGTGGAGCTGAGTGGACTTGCTGATGACCGGTACCAGCAGTGTCAAGATCGCCTTCTGTGGAGGAGGCTCGTGAAGGACGCTACTGGGCAGTTGGAGGCAGTCGCCCTCCAACAACAACGGAGGGCGGAGGAGCGACGCTCACAACAACGAGCGGAGTGCCGGGTGGCTAGGGCACAGCAGGTTGGCACAGTAGGGGGCACAGGTGGTGCATCAGCCACTCATCTCAGTCAGTCGACCCGTGGCACCTGCTGGGTCTGCCCCGTGACCTCCTGGTGCACCTAGCCTGGCACAGTAGGGGGCACAGGTGGTGCATCAGCCAGTCATCTCAGTGATCTCAGTCAGTCGACCCGTGGCACCTGCTGGGTCTGCCCCGTGACCTCCTGCCAGCGGGCGTTCGACTCTTCACGTGGCCTCAAGGTGCACATAGCCTGGCACAAGCGTCGTGGTGACGTCACCGCCACTTAGTGGCGAATGGCGGTTGTTGTTGTTGGTGTTGTTGTGTGTGTGTCTGTCTGTGTGTGTGTGTCTGTGTGTGTGTGTCTGTGTGTGTGTGTGTCTTGTGTGTGTGTGTGTCTGTGTGAGTGTCTGTGTGTGTGTGTCTGTGTGTGTGTGTATGTCTGTGTGTGTCTGTGTGTGTCTGTGTGTGGTGGTCCTGCTTTTTAAGAAGGGGGACCGCACAGACTGTAACAACTACAGGGGCATCTCACTCCTCAGTGTGCCGGAAAAGGTCCTGGAAAGGATTATTCAGCATCGCCTTGCCAGGCACGCTGAGGAGAGGCTTGCGGAGCCCCAATGCGGTTTCAGGAAAGGGCGGTCCTGCACAGATGCCATCTTTTCTGTCCGTCTGCTGCAGCAGAGGTGTAGGGAATTCCAACAAGACCTACATCTCTGCTTTATTGACCTGGTCAAGGTCTATGATACCATCAGTAGGCCTGGGCTCTGGGTTGTTCTTCGTGCTTTTGGAGTACCTGACCCTCTGCTCACGATCATTAAGGACCTTCATGATGGTGAGCGGGCCCAGGTAAAACTACGTGGCCGGGAGTCAGAGCCATTCCCTGTACACCTTGGGGTGCGACAGGGATGTCCTCTGGCTCCCACATTATTTAACATCTATTTTGACCACGTAGTTCGTGAAGCCTTCAATAGCTGTACCGGCGGAATCTCCATATGGTACAGATATAATGGGAGGCTGATCGATGCCCGGGTGCGGTCAAGGGATGGCTCCCTATTGCTCAACCACGTTATGTATGCTGATGATTTGGTAATAGCTGCTCATTCAGAGGAGGAGTTGGAGACGCTGCTGCTGAGACTGGAGCGTGCCACTAAGAGATGGGGCCTTACCATCAACCCCACCAAAACTAAGCACCTGCCTGGGTATTTTGCACCATCGGACACTCCACTCCCACAACTCCCAATCGGTGATGGGGCAGTTGTGGAGAGAGTGGAGAGTTTCCTATACCTGGGCAGTGTGCTTATGACCGGCTCCAGTTTAACAGCAGAGGTCTCACTCCGATTCAGTCGAGCGGCAATATCTTTTCATCGGTTGCGTAACGCTGTGTGGAAGCTACCTGGTCTGTCGCTCCGCACTAAGCTTCAGGTCTTCTCGGCCACGGTCATTCCCTCCCTGCTCTACGCTTGCGAAACGTGGACCCCCCTAATGGAACATCTTCGCCGGTTAGAAACATTTAGGCTGACCTGCCTACGATCCATCCTGGGTTTAACCAGACTGAATTGTGTGAGGAGCTCACAAATCCTTGAAAGATCTGGGCAAGGTCCCATCGGTGAGCTCCTCCGGCAGGCAAGGCTGCGTTGGCTGGGTCATGTAGCCCGCATGCCCAGCCACCGCATGCCGAAACAGCTTTTGTTCGGCCGGATTGAGGGGGCTAAACGGGCACGGCACGGGCTAGAGAAGAGATGGAGTGATGTGGTACAGGAGGACGTGGAGCTGAGTGGACTTGCCGATGACCGGTACCAGCGGTGTCAAGATCGGCCTCTGTGGAGGAGGCTCGTGAAGGACGCTGCTACTGGGCAGTTGGAGGCAGTCGCCCTCCAACAACAACGGAGGGCGGAGGAGCGACGCTCAGAACAACGAGCGGAGCGCCGGGTGGCTAAAGCACAGCAGGTTGGCACAGTAGGGGGCACAGGTGGTGCATCAGCCAGTCATCTCAGTCAGTCGACCCGTGGCACCTGGGTCTGCCCCGTGACCTCCTGCCAGCGGGCGTTCAACACTTCACGTGATAGCCTCAGGGTGCACATAGCCTGGCACAAGCGTCGTGGTGACGTCACCGCCACTTAGTGGCTGTTGTTGTGTCTGTGTGTGTGTTAGTCTGTGTCTGTGTGTGTCTGTGTGTGTCTGTGTGTGTGTCTGTGTGTCTGTGTGGTCTCTGTGTGTGTCTGTGTCTGTGTGTCTGTGTTTGTGTGTTTTTGGTGGATGTGTGCCTATACCTGACTATCACCACCACCCCCCACCCCCCCCCCACCAGATGCGCTCCACCCTCACGGTGTCTGTGTGTGTGTCAGTCTGTGTCTGTGTGTCTCTGTCTGTGTGTCTGTGTGTGTGTGTCTGTATGTGTGTGTGTGTGTATGTTTGTGTAAAGGGGAGCGACAGTGTAGCGGTTAGCGCTACGCTGCGCTATGAACCTGGCGACCCGGGTTCGATTCCCGCTCACGGCCAACACCAGTGACGATTATCTGAACCGGTCCTGGGCCTCCCCTAGGTCGACTCAGCCTCAAATGAGTACCTGGTGCGGTGTGTAGTAAACATCGCCACTGGGGAGACAAAGGCGGTCGGGCGTGGTGCTGGCCACCCACCCCCTCGTGTACCGTTCCGGCCTTCATAAGTGCTCGCTAGCAGTACTTGCCCCTACAGTCTGTTAAGACTATATGGGGGATCTTTGTTTATATTTTGTGTGTCTGTGTGTGTCTGTATGTGTATGTATGTGTCTGTGTGTGTCTGTGTGTGTGTCTGTGTGTGTCTGTGTGTGTATGTATGTGTCTGTGTGTGTCTGTGTGTGTCTGTGTGTGTCTGTGTGTGTATGTATGTGTCTGTGTGTGTCTGTGTGTGTGTCTGTGTGTGTGTCTGTGTGTGTGTGTGTCTGTGTGTGTGTCTGTGTGTGTGTGTGTCTGTGTGTGTGTGTGTCTGTGTGTGTGTGTCTGTGTGTGTGTCTGTGTGTGTGTCTGTTTGGTCTGTGTGTGTGTCTGTGTGTGTGTCTGTGTGTCTCTGTGTGTGTGTCTGTGTTTGTGTGTTTTTGGTGGATGTGTGCCTATGCCTGACTATCACCACCATCCCCACCAGATGCGCTCCACCCTCACGGTGTCCGTGTGGCCCGTGGCGTTTGTGGGAGGGCTCCGTTTTGAGTCACCCGCGGTGGGCGCGGACGGCCGAGTCCACGGTTGGCGCACCGTCTTTGATCCCCGGAGGCCCTTCGCGATAGACATGGCCGGCTTCGCCATCAACCTGCGCCTGCTGTTAGACAAACCCGACGTGAGTGGGACACGGGGCTAGAGAGAGACGCAGAGAGAGACACAGAGAGAGAGAGACTGGGCTAGAGAGACACGGGGCTAGGGAGAGACGCAGAGAGAGAGAGAGACTGGGCTAGAGAGACACGGGGCTAGGGAGAGACACACAGAGAGAGAGACACACAGACACACAGAGACACAGAGAGAGAGAGAGACACAGACACACACAGAGACACACAGACACACACAGACACACAGAGAGACACAGAGACACACAGAGAGACACACAGAGAGACACGGCCGAGTCCACGGTTGGCGCACCGTCTTTGATCCCCGGAGGCCCTTCGCGATAGACATGGCCGGCTTCGCCATCAACCTGCGCCTGCTGTTAGACAAACCCGACGTGAGTGGGACACGGGGCTAGGGAGAGACGCAGAGAGAGAGAGACACAGAGAGAGAGAGAGAGACACGGGGCTAGAGAGAGACACAGAGAGAGAGAGAGACACACAGAGAGAGAGAGACACAGACACACAGAGAGACACACAGAGAGACACAGACACACACAAACACACAGAGACACACAGAGACACACAGAGAGAGACACAGACACACACAGACAAACAGACACACAGAGAGAGACACAGAGAGAGACACACAGACACTCAGAGACACAGCCACAGAGAGACACACAGAGACACGGCCGAGTCCACGGTTGGCGCACCGTCTTTGATCCCCGGAGGCCCTTCGCGATAGACATGGCCGGCTTCGCCGTCAACCTGCGCCTGCTGTTAGACAAACCCGACGTGAGTGGGACACGGGGCTAGAGAGACACGGGGCTAGGGAGAGACACAGAGAGATAGAGAGAGACACGGGGCTAGAGAGAGACGCAGAGAGAGAGACACACAGAGAAAGAGAGACACACGGGGCTAGAGAGAGACGCAGAGAGAGAGAGAGACTGGGCTAGAGAGACACCGGGGCTAGAGAGAGACACACAGAGAGAGAGACAGACACACAGAGACACACAGAGAGAGAGACACAGACACACACAGAGACACACAGACACACACAGAGAGACACACAGACACACAGAGACACACAGAGAGAGAGACACAGACACACAGAGACACACAGACACACAGAGAGACACAGACACACACAGACACACAGAGACACAGAGAGACACACAGAGAGAGACACAGAGAGACAGAGAGAGACACAGACACACAGAGAGACACAGACACACACAGACACACAGAGACACACAGACAGACACACACAGACACACAGAGACACACAGACACTCAGAGATACAGACACACAGAGAGACACGGCCGAGTCCACGGTTGGCGCACCGTCTTTGATCCCCGGAGGCCCTTCGCGATAGACATGGCCGGCTTCGCCATCAACCTGCGCCTGCTGTTAGACAAACCCGACGTGAGTGGGACACGGGGCTAGAGAGACACGGGGCTAGGGAGAGACACACAGAGAGAGAGAGACACACGGGGCTAGAGAGAGACACACAGAGAGAGAGAGACACACGGGGCTAGAGAGAGACACACAGAGAGAAAGAGAGACACACGGGGCTAGAGAGAGACGCAGAGAGAGAGAGAGACTGGGCTAGAGAGACACGGGGCTAGAGAGAGACACAGAGAGAGAGAGACAGACACACAGAGACACACAGAGAGAGAGACACAGACACACACAGAGACACACAGACACACACAGAGAGACACACAGACACACAGAGACACACAGAGAGAGAGACACAGACACACAGAGACACACAGACACACAGAGAGACACAGACACACACAGACACACAGAGACACAGAGAGACACACAGAGAGAGACACAGAGAGACAGAGAGAGACACAGACACACAGAGAGACACAGACACACACAGACACACAGAGACACACAGACAGACACACACAGACACACAGAGACACACAGACACTCAGAGACACAGACACACAGAGAGACACGGCCGAGTCCACCGCTGCTCCACCGTCTTTGATCCCCGGAGGCCCTTCGCGATAGACATGGCCGGCTTCGCCATCAACCTGCGCCTGCTGTTAGACAAACCCGACGTGAGTGGGACACGGGGCTAGGGAGAGACGCAGAGAGAGAGAGACAGAGAGAGAGAGACACGGGGCTAGAGAGAGACACAGAGAGAGAGAGAGACACACAGAGAGAGAGAGAGACACAGACACACAGAGAGACACACAGAGAGACACAGACACACACAAACACACAGAGACACACAGAGACACACAGAGAGAGACACAGACACACACAGACACACAGAGACACACAGACAGACACACACAGACACACAGAGACACACAGACACTCAGAGATACAGACACACAGAGAGACACGGCCGAGTCCACGGTTGGCGCACCGTCTTTGATCCCCGGAGGCCCTTCGCGATAGACATGGCCGGCTTCGCCATCAACCTGCGCCTGCTGTTAGACAAACCCGACGTGAGTGGGACACGGGGCTAGAGAGACACGGGGCTAGGGAGAGACACAGAGAGATAGAGAGACACACGGGGCTAGAGAGAGACACACAGAGAGAGAGAGAGAGACACACACGGGGCTAGAGAGAGACGCAGAGAGAGAGAGAGAGACTGGGCTAGAGAGACACCGGGCTAGAGAGAGACACACAGAGAGAGAGAGACACACAGAGACACAGAGAGAGAGAGACACAGACACACACAGAGAGCGAGACACAGACACACAGAGAGACACACAGAGAGACACAGACACACACAGACACACAGAGACACAGAGAGAGACAGAGAGAGACACAGAGAGAGACACAGACACACAGAGAGAGACACAGAGAGAGACACACAGACACTCAGAGACACAGACACACAGAGAGACACGGCCGAGTCCACGGTTGGCGCACCGTCTTTGATCCCCGGAGGCCCTTCGCGATAGACATGGCCGGCTTCGCCGTCAACCTGCGCCTGCTGTTAGACAAACCCGACGTGAGTGGGACACGGGGCTAGGGAGAGACGCAGA